ACTTTCTGTTTTGAAAAGATAATTGAAATGTTTTTTGGAAGGTTTATTTTATTTATTTTATATTAATTTCCATTAATTTTTTTTATTTTTTTTTCTATTTAAACTAAACTTTTTTGGAACTAATAAATATTAAAAATATATCTTTTAAACAATTACTAATATTTAAATACAAAAAAATGAAATTATTACTTACTTTCCTTGTAATTTTACTTACATTCTCTGCTTTTGTTTCTGCTGAAGAGGCTTACTTTGCTTTTAAGACACATGGAAGCCATCATGACTTTGTATTCAAACTAACTGACCCAAAGAAAATTAAAATGGCAAGGGACATTTTATCAGGAGGTATGTGCTAGAATAATAATTTTATTATTAAGTTAATTAATATTAACAAAAACAATATTTCTATTATAAATAGAGGAAACTGAAAATGTACACGTAATGGGAAGAATTAGAAAGACTGGTAAAGACTATAACCCACGTATGTATTTTTTTTTTTATTCAAAAAAATAAAATGGGGATTTATTATTTAACTTTTTTTTTTTTTTATTTAGATTACAGCTTCCATTTAGATCCAGATCAAACTTCCTTTTTCAATATTGCTATTGAAGTTTGTGATGCTACCCTTCAATATACTGAAGACTATCTTGATGAAGCTTGTGGTGGTATGTTAAAAAAATACAAATTATTTATATTTTTTTCTTTATTCCCTTATTAATTTTTTTTTATTTTTTAAAACATAGCTTTCTTACCAGGTTGTATCTTCTGCCCATGGTCAAGTAAATTAACCAAAGAAGTAAAATTATAAAGATTAATATCAAAACTCATATGTCCAACCAATATTGGATATTAACTCCCAAAGAAGAATTTAAATTAAAAATAAAATAAAATAAAAAAAATAAAATATTTAAATTTAAACAATTATTTAACATTTTTTATTAATTAATCTTTTTTCTTATTTTATATTATTGAAATCAAAAATCTATTGTTAGATGGTACTTTATGTGAATAATTATTTGATTATATCATAATATTAAAATGTAACTTTTCGAAAATATCTAATAAAAGCAAAACTATTTCCTTTCATTTTTCTTCGACCCATTAGTCGAAATTAAAAAAAAAAAAAAATTTAAAAAAAATAATTTTAATTTTAAAAAAGATTTTTTTTTTTTTTTTTTTTTTCGTTTTTAATTTATAACTTTTTTTTTTTTTTTTTTTTTTATTTGACACACTGGTCTAAATAAATTTTTCTTTAATTGTTTTATTTTTAAATGTTTTATTTTTTTTTTATAATAAACAATATATTTTAAATAGAGGAATAACAATATTGGATATAAACATATACTTTTATAGCACCAATTTTAGAAATAAAAAATAAAATTCTAAAAATAATTCAATTTTTTAATTTTTTCAAAAATTGTTTTTTTTTTTATATATCAGAAAAAATAATATGATAATATTTTCAATTAAACAATAGATAATAGTAATAGTAATAATAATAGTAAATAAATAATAAATAATAATGATTTCGAAATTATTTACAAAAAAAAATATATTTATAATATTTATTATTTGTTTTTTTATTTTTATATATAACAATAGTTCAATTGAACATAAATTAAAAGAAAAATATATTAAAGATCAATTAAAATATAATCAACAACCCAACAATCATAACAATCATAACAATAATAAAAATAATAAAGCTTCAAATAGAAGTATATTAAAATTTAAAAACTCCAATTTTTTAAATGACATATATCCTCAACTGTACACATATAAACCATCAAATATAAATAATAATAATAATCATGAAGAATTTAATAATGAAGTTAAAGAAGAGTGGTCAGTACTACCATCAGAAATGATGGATAAAAAGAGGATATGTATTGTAACAACCGAAATTGAAGGACCAGTATTAGGTGGTGGTATTGGTACAGCATATACAGCATTGTCTCAAAAATTAAATGAAGATGGACATGTGGTTACAATTGTTCTGGTTAACAAGGTAAAAAAACTCTCAGCGGACCATTGGAGAGAATTATATAAAGCTAAAGGTATCAATTTGGTTATATTGGATTTCATTCAAGATATGGATTCAATTGTAAAAGATAAAGATATCAACCAAGAGAATTATAAAGGTGTAATAGGGTGTACTGGTCCTTGTATTAGATCTTACAGAACTTATCTCTGGTTAGCTGAACACGATGCCGATTTCGATATTGTTCATTTCCATGATAACGGCGGTATAGCCTACTTTACAAGTTTATCTCAACACCAAGGTATTTATTTCCAATCGACCAATATTGTTATTGGTGGCCATGGTCCTCATCTTTGGGAAAGAACTGCCAATAGTGCAAATTTAGATGACGGTAAGCATTTTGAAGTCGATTATTTAGAAAGAAAATCTGTAGAATATTCAAATTGGTTAATATCACCAAGTAACTATATGCTAAATTGGATGAAGTATAACCGTTGGGAATTACCAGTCAACTCTTATGTTCATCAAAATTTGTTACCAGGGGAAAATCAACAATCACAACAACAAAAGGAAGGAGAGTTTTTATTTAAAGATCAAGGCGCAAATGATAACGAGAAAACAGCAATTATCGAAAGAAATGATTTTAGCGAAATTTTATTTTTTGGTAGATTAGAATCAAGAAAGGGTTTAGATATATTTTTAATTGCATTAGACTCATTGGCCGAAATGTTAAAAGAAAAAAATATGAAAGTTACATTTTTGGGATCAAATACAAAGTTGTTAGATGTTAATGTTATGGCCGATTATTATATAGATTCAAAATGCAAAAAATTGGGTATAAATTGTTTAATTTTAATTGGTAAATCACACACTGAAGCCATCAATTATTTAAATAGTCAAAAAGAAAATAAATTGGTAGTAATCGCCTCGCCAATCGACAACTCACCAAATACTGTATTAGAGTGCCTAACCCACAAATTAGCAATCATAGCAGCCAATGTTGGTGGAATTCCAGAGCTTATTCATCCCGACGATAGAAGATTTGTACTCTTTGATCCAAAGCCATTAGCCATAGTAAAGAAAATCAAACAATTAAAAGAAATTGGTGTTTCACCTGCTCGTTTCGCAATCGATGAATGGACCCGTCAAACTATTTGGAGTAACTGGCATTCTGTTGTAAATAAAATCGACGCCGATGATATTAAAATTAAAGAATCAAAGTATAGATTAAATACATTTGACGAAAAGAAGTCTTTAGCAATTATCATACCTTTAAATTTTAAATCAAATTTAGATAACATATTAAGAAATTTAAATTCAATTTCAAATCAAAATTCATACTATTACAATGTTCAAGTTATAATTATTAAAGCAAATTCTCAAGATTATGACAGCATTGAATATGACGAAGTTTTAAATCAAGTTTATAAATTATTAAAGAAATTAAAATTAAACAACCACAAAGTGATCGAAATAAACAACAAACTATTACAACCATATCAAATTTGGAACTCGAAAGAAATTTTAGATATAGATGCTCAGTTCTATTTGTTTTTAGACTTTTATGACTATTTGTCAGATGACGCTTTGGATACTCTAGGTAAAGTTCAAGTTTTTACAGATGCCTCAATCATTACTTCATCTATTTTATTCAACAACAATACAGTATCAGTATTATCAAATAATTTCGAACAACAACAATTAAAAACTCCTGGTGGTCTTATCACAGCTGCTTCAAATCAATTAAACTATCGTTCCTCAAAAGTTCATTCTATATTTTTAGGTTGTTCCGGTATGCCAGGTATCATGTACAATTGTTACGGTAGTAATAATTTTATGATAGAAAGAGATGCTTTAGAAGATATTAGTATTCAATATTCAATCAATGATCAAATTACAAACATTTTCGATATTGAAAATAGTGGTTCTTGGGATTTTTACTCTTTAGCAACCAATAATGGTTACAAACTCGAAACTATTCCCAAAAACTTGTTCATTTCAAATAAATTAGACTATGATTTACCCTCAACTTATAATCAAGAATTGAGAGTTTTAAAAAACTTTGATAGTAAGTAATCTTTACAAAAAAAAAAAAATTTTAAATTTTATATTAATTTAAATTTTATTTTAGATATTTTACCAAATACATTTGAATTATCTGTTTTAGCAACTAGACACTTTTTAATTTCAAAGAGAGCATATGTCAACGAAATTATTACTTCAAATACCAAAGTTAAAGAGTTAACAGATAAATGTAATAGAGCAGTTGAAAGAGAAGAGTTTAAAGAAAATGGCGAAGAGAATAGAGATTATGTGGAATCTAGAGGCCACATTAAAGTAGTATTTATTAGAGGTCACGAGAAATCAGGCACAAGTTGGTTAAAGAAAGTAGTAGATTTACACCCAAGAATTCATATGGCAAAACAAGAGTTTCATTTCTCGATTATCGAAGATGCTTTAGAAAAATTCACAACCAAACCATGGCAAGCCGCTCAAGAACCATATAAATCCTATACAAAGAAATGGTACCGTTCATATGTTAGAAATGTTTTATTATCAGGTGTATCAACATCATTGGCTCCATTAATCGATTGGGTTGGTGAAAAAACTCCATCACCATTACAGCCAGTTATTTCAGGTTCAAAATATATTTTAATCATTAGAGATGGACGTGATGTATTGGTTAGTTTATTTTGGCACTATGTTAGATTGGGTGGTTTCGAAAACTGGTGTGGCAACCATAAACATTTAGTGGATCCACAATACGTCAAGCAATATCGTACTGACACTGATTATTTCCACAAAAATCCTGAAAATCTTTTAGAAAAAGAAATTTGTTTTAGAAAAATAGCTAGTGGTTGGGCAAAAAGAGTTAGAGACGATCAATCTGTTATTCAAGCATTAGAAGCAGAACCTGTAGCTCAAGTTTATACTTTACGTTATGAAGAGCTTCATAGAAATCCTGAAGGATATCGTAAAGAAATTTACGAATTTTTAGATTTGGATTACAACGAAGCAGAACCTCTTTCGGTAGACGATAAAACAATTCCAGGTGGTTTTAACGAAAAATCAGATAAAAACAAATTCTTTAGAAAAGGTGAAATAGGTGATTGGAAAAACTATTTTACTGAAAATAATAAAAAATGGTTTAAAGAAGAAACAGGTAATTTATTAATCGAATTGGGTTATGAACTATCAAATGATTGGTAATATCATATAAAAAATCAAACTCAACTAAAAAAATATTTAATAAACCTTAAATATTTTTAAAAGATTTATCTTTAAAAAAATTTTATTTGTTATTTTTTATTCATTTAATTCTTTATTTTGGACAAATAATTTTAAGAAATTTTTTAGAAAATTATTTTTTATAAAATATTTAAAAAATACCAAATTTTTTATTTTTTTTGCTAATATTAATATTAATGGACTTGGATATATACAACAATGATGAAAGAGGTTTTTTATATATTTTTAGAAATATATATTTAAAAAAAGAGATTTTAAAACATTTAAATTTATTTAAACAAAATTATAAAGTTTCTTTTAAATCTTTTAAAGAATTTAAAAACTATAAATATAAAGATTATATAATAGATTTGGAATGTGATTTCTATGAAGGTATATCAAGAATAGAGGACTATCCAGCATTTGTCGAGAATTTAACATTTGGCGAAAGATTCAATAAACAATTGAATGAAGGTGATTTACCCACAACATTAAAGTCTCTAACATTTAAGAACTTTTACAATGAACCTATATCCAAAGGGGTAATTCCTCCAAGCGTCGAGAATTTGTCTTTTGGTGATTTATTCAACCAATCTCTTGATGATGGTACTGGAAATACTATACTACCAATTAGTCTGCAATCCATAGCATTTGGTTATATGTTTAATTACCCTGTTGGTAATGGTTTAATTAGTTTACCAAATTTAAAAAAACTCTATTTTGGTTACAACTTTAATCAAAAACTTACCATTGGTGATATTCCATCAAGTTGCAAAGATATTAAAATGGGTGCTAAATACAATCATCCATTATCTTCAGGTATTATTCCACACGGAGTAGAGATTTTATTCTTTGGGAGTGATTTTAACCAAGAGATTCTTGAGGGCCATATACCCAGTACCGTAAAAATTCTTAAGCTTGGTAATAGCTTCAATCACCCTTTATCCACCAACTGTATTCCTACAGGATGTGAAACAGTTATTCTATCCAACGATTTTAACCATCCTATAAAAAAATCCGATATACCATCAACCTGTACATCATTAGTTTTTGGGAAAAGTTTTAATCAAATTATAAAAAAAAATAGCTTACCATCTGGAATACAGAATCTTACTTTTGGTCACAACTTTAATAAAAAAATTGAAATGGGAGCTCTTCCTTCTAAACTAAAATCTATAAAGTTTGGGTTCAAATATAACCTTCCTCTTACACATAACCTAATTCCACCCAGTGTTACATCGATCGAATTTGGTTTTTCTTTTAAACAAATTCTTGCTGACGGAGATATTCCAAATTCTATAAAAGAGATAACCTTCTATAATGAAAAAACCAATTTTGACCTATCCTCAATCCCCTATTCTACAAAAATATATGTTGGTTGTTTGAAAAAGATTATAAATTAAATTGAAAAAATAAATAATAAATAATAAAAAATAAAAATTAATATCAATCTCAAAATCTCAAATCAAAAATTTTGAAAACCTTAAAAAAAAAAAAAATAAAAAAAACTTTTTTCTGACAACCTTTAAAATAGAATAAATTATATTTATTTATGAAATTCAAAAATAAACCAAAAAATTTTATTAAATTGAATAGTTAATATGAGTTGCAAAATTTGTGATAATAATTTTATTTATTATTTAAATTAATAATACTTAATACACATGATATTATCCGTCATTAGTATTTTATATAAGTTCCAATTATAATTTTGGATGTATGTAATCGGGAAAATATATTATTTTTTTTTGATCGGGGTTTGAAATGGAGTCAGGTTCTAAAGGGTAGACCACATCGCCCAAACTAATATCATTTATAGAGTCAGGGATAATACCTTTTGTAAAACGTTGAGAGAAACCATTATCAAATAGAATATAATCCATATGATTTGGAATTGAACCGGGTATTAATTGATACTTGATGTTATATAAGTGCAAACCTTTTACGGTGGGTGGTATAAAATTAAGTGGTTGATCAAAACCATCTAGTAAATATAATTGTGAAACTGTTTCTGGAATTGAATCAGGTGTTAATTGATAATTAATGTTTTCTAAATACAAGTGAATTACAGTGGGTGGTATAAAATCAAGTGGTTGATCAAAACCATCTAATAAATATAAAAATTCAACTGTTTCTGGAATTGAATCGGGTGTCAATTGGTATTTGATGTTTTCTAAATACAAGAGCTCTACAATGGGTGGTATAAAATCAAGTGGCTGATCAAAGCCATCCATTAATAATAAATGTCTAACTGTTGGAATATTCTCGAGTAAATGTTGGGTAGGTCCAATAGCAAGGAAATCCTCTTCTATACTATAATCGCACCCCTCTTCATAAATTTTAAATTCTTTTGGACACACTTTAAAAGGAATTAATAAAAGTACTATTAATATTAGTATAAAATAATTAAAAAAAATTTAATGTTAAAACTTACCTTTCCATTTTAAATAAGGTTTAATTGAAGGATTATTATTAAGTACTTTTAAATATTTGTTTGTTAGATCTTTGATTGGGTCAAGATTATTTTCTTGAATTATTAAATGAGTATCTTTATATTCTGGTAAGTTATTATTATTTATATTTGATAAAAGATTGTTACATTGATGCTTGTGTTTTAAAAGTTCAATAAATCCACTATCAATATTATAAACATCATTATTATTATTATTATTATAATATTTAAGAGCATTATTAATTTTATCATTATTGTTTTCTATTGTTGTTGTTATTATATTATTTACATCTGTATTTTCGTCTAAATTAGTTAACAATAATCTTTTGATATCGTTTTCTTTTGCATCGATAAAATTTTTTAATTCCTTAAATATTTTTAAAGTTTTATCAATATTATTTGTATGGTTATCTTTAATTTGTGTAAATTTATTGTTTGATTCATCCAATATTTTTTTATTACTATCTAAATAGTAGTTTAGTTTTGGTATTATTTGATATTTTATATCTTTTTGTATTTGATTTCTTAAATTTATATCAGTTAATTTTTTAAAACCATGACCATAATGAAAATCGGTAATACAATCGATACAGACAGGAGGGTTATTTGGACATGTTGAACATATTGAAATTATATCTTTGTGGATATGATCTAAGCATTTGGTATCATATATTTGATTATTATTTGACATTATTTATTTTTAGAATTTAAAATAATAGTTTTATACAATTATTATTAATAATTTATTTATTTTTAAAATTGTTTTATGACAATAAATTTCCTCACAGGTGCGATGTAAAAAAAAATTACAAAATTTTTTTAAAAAATAAAAAAAATTAATTTTTTTTTTTTAAAATAAATAAAAAAAATATAATTCAAAATACTTCATCATTTCTTTTATATATCCAGAATCTAGTATTTAATATCTATATGTATTTTAAAACTCACTCCATCACTTATAAAATAAAATTTCCAAAAATAAGGGTCTTTTTATTTATTATTTTATTAACAGTATAATTATTATTTTTATTTATTTTTTAATTTTATTTATTAAAGATTTATATAAAAATGATTCTTCTTTGTTGACAATTTTTTTAAATTCACATTCTGTCATTTTTATATAATTTAATAGTAAATCTGCAATTTCTACGTATTTTAATTTTAATGCTCTTTCTAAAAGTTTTTTAATTTCTTTTGTACTGAAAACACCTTTGGTGTTATTTTGTTTTTTAATTAAGATATTACCATGTTTCAAAGCTAAGTATTTTAGAAATTGAAAATTCCCAAAATCTAATATTATATTAGAAAAATAGTAATAGGTTTTAAAACAATAAGTATCTTCAGTTTGATTTTCTAAATAAAACTTGAAAAACATGTCTAAAAACAATTGGTTAGCTCTACACGGCGGTACCCTTTCTAATATTTGAAAAACACTTAAATTCTCAAGTTTGGATATATCATCAAAACGACCAGTTTGTCTTAAGAGATCGAGCATCATAGATGTTGATATAAAAAAATGGATGATTCCATTGCCAGAGTTTACTTGTAAATTATGAAAATAACTGTTATAATATTCTAATTTTACTTGATTTTTAAATAACCAATCTCCAATTAAATATAACCTTTCACCTCCATATTTTTTGAAAAGGTCAGCTAAAGGTATTGTTCCAAATCTATTGAACTTGAATAGTGAAATAAATAAGGCTACTTGTTTATTTTCGTTTAAATAATTTGAAAATATGTTGCTAAAAATAGAAAGATTAACTTCTTCTGGGAGATGGTAAAGATTTGGATTGCTGAGTGCCCTTATTAACAATTCTAAACCAAGTTCTAATTTCATACCTTTTCCTTTATTGGACTCAAACTCTGAAATCGAAAAGGTTCTTTTTAAACTTTCCATAAGATTTTCATAGTGTTCTATTATTGAAAAATCTGAAATGTAAATCCAATTGGAATTATTTGAACTAAAAAATACATCTTGATATTTCTTGAAAAAGTAATCTAAAACTGCTGTAGATTTGATCCCTTCAAAAATGGCTGGAAGATTTTTGAAAAACACAATTGTGTTATCACGGAGTAAATAGTTTATAAAATCGATATTATTTGTTTCTATAATTGATTTGAAAATTGGACCCATGTCATTTTTTTCACATATTTTTGTTATATCTTTGAAAAAATCAGAGAAAATTGGTGATTGAATATTTCTGTACTTTCCCATTCTAAAAACATCTAAACATTGTTGATAATAACCACTTATTGATGAGTTTAAATTATTGGACAAAACTTTAAGTTCTTCGATAATTTGATCTTTCTCTTTAAATAAAATATAATAGTTGATTGGAATGGTTGATTGGAAGGAATATAAATAATCTAAAGATTGTAAAATAAGAGACTTTAACTCCAAAGTGTCGATACCAATTGCTTCAACTTTCAAATTTGTTTTTTCATTGTCAAAATCTGTGATTGTGGTTTTATTTTCATTTATATTTGCATTTGTTGATATTTCTTTATTTAACTCACTTGATAAATTTTCTTTTTTAATAATTGACTCTAAAGTATTAATGTATTTATCTTTTTCTAATAATAAATTGACAATTTTATCCCTTTGATCCCCATTTAAAAATAAGCTATCTAAAAATGCGATGTAATCTTTGTGGCCCTCACTATCACCATTAGTGGTGTTTTTATTGTTGGCTATACTATTGTTTATTAAAACTGATGTAGTATCTAACAAATCATGAATACTTGAGTTTAACTGTTGTTCTGTGAAACCTATAGCTGGGTCTGTGATTTCTAGAAATGGTGGTGCTTTAGTAGTGGTGCCTTTTCTTATTTTACCAATATTTTTGACTATTTTTATTATATGCTTTAATTTGAATGATTGATCAAAAAAATTTAAACTTACTGATACCCGGCTTGTATTCCAACCCTCTTTATAAAGATGATGAACCATTTTAAAACTCTTATAAGATGCAATTGTTGGTAATCCTACTTTATTTAATATATCTTTTCTTGGTATAAATAGTTTAAATGCCAATATATTATTAGTACTGAATATATTTTTTATTATTGATTTATCACCTTCTGTAGAACAATAGTTTTTGAAAAATTTGTCGTAAAAATTTTTATTCTCTTGATTTTCTTTTTGGATATTTTTAAAGGTTAAATAATAACCATCATTTGCATATGAGTGAAGATGTTTAAAAGTTAAAAAATCACCACGCTTTACTTTATCTTTTAGAATTTCGGCTGCATTTGAATAACCATGGAATATCCTGTGAACAGAATATATCATTTGATAGTTATTAGCAGATTTGAAAATAAAATTTGAAAACAAAAAGTTAAAAAGATATTTATTTCTAAAAACCTTCCAAAAAGACACTTCTAGAGGATCGATATCTTTAATTAACAACTCCTGGGTCTTATTAAATGAATTGATGGCTTCCTTTTGATTTGCTTCATTTATTAATGATTTTTGATACAATAATAAATCCTTTATTCTTTCGTACATTTCATCTTTTTTGCCTTTTGCTGGTAACCCTAAACTATTTGAAATTTCTTTTAATTCATTTAATTTATAACTATTATTTATAAAAACATCATAATTTAATGTATTATTATTAATGTTATTATTGTTATTATTGCAACTATTAGTACTACTACTATTATTATTTTCTTCATTACCATTATTAATGTTAGTCTTGTTATCACTATTAATTTCACTATCTGGCACTGTATTTTCTTCTGCACCACTTTGATCAACTTTTTTCTTTTTTTTTGATTTTTCTTCAATATCACTTCCTCCCTCCTCATTATTTAATCTTTTATTTTTCTTCATTTTAAATATAATATAATTAAAAAAATATTATTCTTTGGTGGTGTATTTTTAAAAAAATTTATAAATTTTTTTTAATCAAAATGAAATTAAAAAAAAAATCCAAGAAAAATAATTTTAATAAGAAAAAAAAAAATAATTAAAAAAACCTTGCGAATAATTCCATTTTTAAAAATAGTTGATACTACCCTCTTATATTTAATTTTTGCCTTATTTTTGTTAAAACCTAAAATATTTATAAATAAAAATTTAATATTTTATCCATTTTTTATAATATTTTTTTCAAACTTTTTATTTTATTATTTTTTTTAACCTTTTATTTTTTTTTTTTGGTCCCTAAATATTAAAAATTATTTTTAAAATTAAAGGAGCTTTAACCTTTTTCCCGGGGGCTAAATAATTTAGAAAAAAAGAAATAGAATTAGGGTTTTTTTTTTTTTTTTTTTTTTTTTTTTTTCTAACTTACGAGAATTGAAACTTTATTACAAGCTTGTCTGAGGTTTGGGGAATTATATAAATAATAAGCAGGTGAAGAAGACAATGATTCCTCGTCATCTTCGTCCTCATATTCGTCACTAGAGTCTAAGTATTCTTCCCAATCCTCATCCTCCTCATTATGGGTATAATTATTATTATTGTTAGCATTATTAAAAGATCTTGAATTAGTTGCTAATGAAGGTAAAGATGATGATAAAGAGAATGGTGATGGAGGAGAACAGTAACTACAGCTTCTTAACAATGGGGATGAGAGTGTTTGAATTCTACTGCTACTTTTTGATAATGCTGATTTGTTACAAGTGCATTGTTTTTGATAATTAATACCACTATTATTTAAAGTGTTGATATTATTAGTTTGAATGGGTGATGATTTTGATAAATTTATATTTTTATTATTTGAACTGCTGAGTGTGTTAATTTTACTAAAGCTATTATTTAAACTATTATTGCTGTTTCTTATATTTATATTATTATTACTATTGTTTAAAGTAGAATTATCCTCACTTTCTTTTTTATTATTGTTATTGATGGAGGAATCCAATTTATTATAAAATGTGCCCAAATAAAATATTAATAATGAGATTAATAAACCCCAAGATTTAAATAATATTTGGGTAAATATACATATTGCCACTAAATATTTTAATTTCATTTCGACATTAAATATTTTAGTTGACAATTCCAATGTGTCGATAATTTGGACCATTGTTGGATTTTTAAAAATAATAATTGAAAAAATCTCTTCAAAATATTTATATATTTTAAATTTTTTGAAAAAAGACCCACTATTATTATTATCGTTGATGTTATTATTATTATTATTATTATTATTATCACCATTTAAAACATTAATTTCGTTGAAGCTTTTTTTTAATTGATTTATTTCATTATTACTATTATTATAATTTATTTTATTTCTTTGTGTTCTAAAATCACTTAAACTGGCTATACTATTTCTTCTTCTTGGTTGAACCATTGGTGAAGATGTTGAAATATATGAGTGGGATGGTGATGAAGTTGTGGACGATGAATTCTCATCATTTACAATTGAACCGTCAATAATTTTTAAACCCATTATTTTATTACTATTATTATTATTATTATTATTATTTATTATGTCTATTATTATTTATATATAATCAAAAGTTATTTAAAAAAATGAATAAAAAATTAATCTTTTTTTTTTTATTTATTTTTTATCAGATGAGTTATTAAAAACTTGGGTTTTTTTTTTTTTTATTTGAGGTGTGTTATTCTAATTATTTAATCAAAAACTATATTAAAATAACGTATTGGTACAAAACTAATTTTATTGGTTTGTTTGTGTGTGTGTGTGTAGTGGTGTGTGTTAATAAAAAAATAAAAAATAAAAAAAAAATAAAATAAATTAACAATGAGAAAAAAAAAAAAAAAAAAAAAAAAGAAAATAAAATAAAAGAGTGGAAATATCAAATTAAATAAAATAAAAAAATAAAAAATAAAAAAAAAAAAGGTCTCGCTATTATAAAAAGGGTTTTTTTATTTGAAACCCTTATAATTATTTAAAATGGTTGTGAGTGAGGCAATTTTTGACATCATGCCGTTCCAAAATTAACAAATTTATATTGAGGATAAGAATAAAATCTATGTGTATTTTTTTGTTAATAAAAAAAAAAAACTAATATATTGTATTGTATATATTAAAATTTAAAATTAAAAAAATTGTTTTAAAATAAAAAAGGAAGTTAAGAAATTAAAAAAATAAAAAAATTAATTTTATAAATATAAAAAATATTTTTTTTTTTTTTTTTTTTTTTTTTTTTTTTAACAAATCTTTTTTTTAAAAAAAAAAACTTGGGGATACATTATAAATCCCCCCCAATAAAATATAAATATAAAAAAGAAATATAAAATTTTAAAAAAAATATAAAAATTATAATTTTAATTTAATTTTTTTTTTTTTTTTTTTTTTTTTTTTTTTTATTTTATTTTATTTTATTTAAAAATTTCTTTTAAAAACAAAAAAAAATTTTTTTCAAACTTCTTCTTTTTGGGGGGTTTTTTTAAAAAAAAAAAAAAGTTTTAAACCCCTCTCCCAAAAAATAAATTTTAGGGCAAGGGAAATTTAATATAATTTTGGAGGAGTTTGAAATAAAAAATAAAAAAAATAAAAAATTTATTTTGTGGTTATTTAAATAAATACTGTTAGCATTTTAATTTTAAAAAAACTGACAACAATAAAAAAAAACCATGGTTTTATCAAAACAATACTAATGTTAGTTTTTTTAATGTGAGATATTTAACATGTCGGCTATTAATATGGGAGGTGTCAAATTGCATAAAAATTGAAAAAAAATACCATGTTGAAAATACCCTCCATCTTGTCCCAAATATCGCATTTATCTAATCCAAAAATGAAATAAAATATATTTTAATTGAATTTGTATAATATAACTATTAAAGATTATAATTATTTTTTTTATTTATTTATTTATTTATTTATTTGTTTTTTTTTTTTTTTTTTTTATATTTCTTTTTATTTCTTTTGCTCTCCCTCTGCTTCTGCTTCTTCCTCTTCTTCAAGCTGTGAATTAAATAATACAATAATATTTACCATAAAACCAGCTAATATACAACTTCTAACAACTAAAAATGATTGAACTGCAAATTGGGGATCGTCTAAATCACTGAAAAACAACTTCATTCTATTTAAACCTGTAAAAATTTTAGTATCATTTTCTTTTGAATCTACGATATCTTGAATCAATTTAATTAAAGTTGGTGTTGGTTTTGGTTTAAAAAAATCATCATCATCATAAACAGTTGTATCTGATTCATCCTTTGGTACTTGATCTAAAAGTAAATAATTCATTTGATCTTCTTGTAGTTCTGGTGCTGCAATTGGTGAATAGTTGTCATATAAATCCAAAGATTGTTTTAAATCATCAATAGATGTTAAAATCATTGCTATATATAATAAATATAAACATTAATAAAATACTAACAAAACAATAATAATAATAATAATAATAATAATAATAATAATAATAATAATAATAATAATAATAATAACACCCATTATTATTCTATAAAAAAATAGATTTATAACTTACCAGTTCTATATTCTTTATTTAATGATTTCCACCAGTTTATAAATTTATTTTTTTCATCATTATCAGTCCAAAATTCCAATAACGATTCTCTTAATGAGTTACGCTGTTCTCTCCAATTCTCGACTGATTTTTTAAATTCTTCGCTTTTAAATGATGTATTGATATTTGAAACTCTACCTTCTAAAGTATCTATTAAATTATCAATTTCATCCAAATTAATATCTTTCATTTTATAGTTTTTATTTATACAACTATTATTATAATATTGCTATATATTATTATTAATGTTAAATTATTTATATAAATAATGTTGGTGTTATACGAGTTTCAGTTTTTTTAATTTAAAAAAAAAATTTTAAATAAATTTTAAAAAAAAAAAATGAAAAATCTTTAATTTTTAATTTTTTTTTAATTTTTTTTTTTTTTTCGTTTTAAACAAATCATTCATGTGTTAAAAAATGATTAAAATTTTAAAAAATATATCACAAAATAAATCATTATTAAATAATAATAATAACTTTGTTTATTTAAATATTAATAATAGATTTTATACAACAACAACAACAGATAAAACCGATTTTACAAAATTAATACCAGAAAATGGTAATATACCAAATAATATTATAGAAAAAATTGGTAAAAACTTACACAACGAACCAAACCACCCATTAAACATTATTAAAAAGAAAATTCAATACCACTTTCAAAATGAATTATCAAGTGATCAACATCAATTTAAATTTTTCGATAAATTTCAACCAAAAGTAACAACCAAACAAAATTTTGATGATTTATTATTTCCAAATACCCATGTAGGAAGAAGTCCAAACGACACCTACTATTATGACAAGAACACATTATTAAGAACCCATACCAGTGCACATCAATCTGAAATTTTAAATGATAAAGATGTAAATGCATTTTTAGTTACCGGTGATGTATATAGAAGGGATACAATCGATGCTGTTCACTACCCAGTATTCCATCAAATGGAAGGTGTCAAGGTATTTAAGAGTCCAAATAGTTTCAATTTCAAATACGACCCAAATATTGACTATTACACAAATACTGAATATAAAACTATGCCAGAAATTAAAGAGATTGAAGACGAGTTAAAGAAATCATTAGAATCAATGATTCGTGGTGTTATAGGTCAAGATTTACAAGTTCGTTGGATTGATGCCTATTTCCCATTCACTTCACCAAGCTTTGAAATGGAGATCCTCTTCCAAGATCAGTGGTTAGAAGTATTGGGTTGTGGTGTTGTTCATCCAGGTATTATGAATCATACAGGTTTTACAAATGAAAGAGCATGGGCTTTTGGTATTGGTTTAGAACGTTTAGCAATGATTTTATTCAATATCCCAGATATTCGTTTATTCTGGACCCAAGATAAAAGATTCCTCAGTCAATTCGACAATGTAGATAAAGACCCAAACAATTTAACCAATATCGATATCAAAAATGTACAATTCCAACCATTTAGCAAATATCCATCATGTTTCAAAGATGTCAGCTTTTGGATCTCTGACGATTTCCACGAAAATAAATTCTACGAATTTGTAAGAGAAACCTGTGGTGATTTAGTTGAAAAAGTAGATTTGGTAGATAATTTCCACAATAAAAAATCCAACAAAACCTCTCATTGTTATAGAATTCAATATCGTTCTATGGAACGTAATCTTACAAATAACGAAATTGATGAAATTCAATTAAAATTACGTAACCAAGTTGAAGTTGCATTAAATGTTAAATTAAGATAAAATAATAAAATAAATAATTTTATAATAATAATAAAATATAATAAAACTTTTTTTTTTTTATATTATTTTTTTTTTTATTTTATTTCATATTTTATTTTTTTTTTTTTTATTTTATTTTATTTTATTTTATTTTATTTTTTTGGTAATAATTATGATCATATGGTGAGAAATAAATTTTTATTTAAAAAAATATTAAATAAAGAAATATTTATGAATAAAACCACACTTAATTATTTATTAATTTATTTTATTTAATTTTTTTTTTGAATCTACAAAAAAGAAGATTTTTATAATAATGAACTTTTTAGGGTTCATATAAAAATAATTTTCAAAAAAAAAAAAAAAAAAAAAAAATACTTTTTTTTAATTTTTTTTTTTTTTTTAAATTTTTTGAAATTGAAATTTTTGAATTTTTTATTTTCTTTTCATTATTCATTAAATATTGTATGTAGCATACCCCCACAGTAATTATATATAAGATTTTAATTTTAAAAAATTAAAATAATACTAATCTATTATTATTTTTATTTTTCATTTCTTATTTTATTTTATTATTTTTTTATTTAAATTTTTTATCTTAAATATTAATATACAATATATTACAGATAAAATGTCACACCCAAACAGTTCCCCAGAAAATCCAAGAGTAAATATTATTTATTTTATATATAAAAAAATTTAAAAATATTTTAATTAACTTTTTTTTTTTTATTGAATCTAGGTTTTCTTTGATATCACCATCAACGGTTCCCCAGCCGGTCGTGTTACCATGGAATTATTCAAAAACGTCGTCCCAAAGACTGCTGAAAACTTCAGAGCTTTATGCACTGGTGAAAAAGGTATTGGCAAAAGTGGTAAACCATTAACCTACAAAGGTAGCGGTTTCCACAGAGTTATTCCAAACTTCATGTGCCAAGGTGGTGATTTCACCCGTGGTGATGGTACTGGTGGTGAATCAATCTATGGTATGAAATTCCAAGATGAAAACTTTACCATCAAACATTTCGGTCCAGGTACACTCTCAATGGCCAATGCTGGTCCAAACACCAACGGTAGTCAATTCTTCATCTGTACTGCCCCAACCTCATGGTTAGATGGTAAACACACTGTCTTCGGTCGTGTCGAAAGTGGTTATGATGTCATCAAGAAATGCGAAGAAGTTGGTAGCCAAACTGGTAAAACTTCCGCCAAAGTTGTCGTTGCTGACTGTGGTCAACTTTAAATATTTTATTTAAAGTTATTTATTAAATTTTTATTTTAAAATCCCATATCCAAATAAATTTTGTAAATTTAAAAAAAATAATAATTAGAGTTTTAATGATACTGTTGTTGTTATTATTGTTGTTGTGATGACCATCAACCATTATTTAAAATCTATATTTTAAAGTGCGCCATCAACATCAAAACCAGTAATTTATTTTTATTTTTATTTTTATTATTTTTGCATTAAAATGATTTGTAGTTTGCAATTATTGGATACAATCAATACGGTGATTGTATTTTCCTCTTTTTTTCACATAATCCATAATAATCTTATTTAAATTAGATTTTTTATCCAATTGTTTTCATTGCCTTAGTTTAAAAAAAAAAGAGAAAATTCTGCCTTATATTAATTTTTTATTTTTTTATTTTTTTCACATAAATTATTCATTCACCTAATGAAAACGGCATATAATAATTTTATTATATATAATCAATAACGATATTTTGTAAAATAAATTTTTTGTAATTTGCCAAAGTCGAAATAAGATCATTTATAAAAACTATAATTAGTGATATTTTTTTTTCAAATAATTTGTTCAATAAAAAAAATAAAAATTTTATAAAAGCATGAAAGGGAATTTTAATGAATAAAGTTTAAATATAGGTTTTTAATTTAAAATTGGTTTTTCTGTAATTACAGTTAATTAAAAAAAAAAAAATAGATTGTTTTTTATGTAATTACAAAACTAAACAACTGTTTAAAATTTAATAAATGTGGATGTAAAATATTATAGTATCAGGGAAAAAATTAAAAATTTATTTTTGGAGTTTGTTAAAGTGAAGTTTATATATAGGCGCAACATTTACGAAACACATACACACACTCGCTTACATAAAATATATGACACATAAACATTTATTAAATTTTATTTATTCTATGGTATCAAAGAATTCTGTAGTTTTTTTTCTATTAAGTACTTTTTCTGATTCTTTAAAAAAAAATTTTAAAACACAACCCCAAAAAAAAAAGAAAATATAATCACGAATTGTGGTATAAAAATAACATCACCCTATATAATCCTAATTTATTGGGGATTTATAATTAAGATAGAGATGTAATTGTGATTAATTCCAAAAAAGAGATATTTGTAGTGTTGTCATTAATATAAAAATCTAAATTTAAATTATTTTAATCACGACCAAACTACATTATATTTTTTCTCTGAAACAAAAATAATAAGTAACTAATTCTCTCATTATAAATCATAATAGCTCACACATACCACCCACTCCAACCAAGTGATTTTTATAATAACCAATTTTATATTATAATGTGTTGTTTTTTTTTTTTTCTTTTCCAAATGTTTATTTTAAAAATACTCACAAAATTTTTTTTGATACTCAGATATTTATTTTCAATGTAAATTTTATAATTGATCAATGAGAAAAAAAAAATTAACAATAATCAAAAAAAAAAAAAAAAAAAAAAAAAAAAAAAAAAGGGAAAAAAATTTTAAATTTATTTGATGACCATTTATAAAAAAAGTTGTGTCTTGATTTAAAAAAAAAAAATTAAAATTTTTTTATTTTTTTTGATTTAATTTTTTTATTTTTTATTTTTTTTTTAGGAAAAAAAACAATCAATATTTTTTTCATATAATTTTTTTTTTTTTTTTTTTAATTTATATATTCACATATAAAAATAATAAAATACAAGACAACCAGCCCATTTATAATAACAAGATAGAAATTGTACAATGACATTGGATTTTTATTAATAATCCCCATCCCCCATACCCAACATACATCCTTTTTTTTTATTTATATATAATTAAACACATAATTATTTTTTTTATTTATATATATTAAAGTTTTAATTATTTTTTTTTTTTTCTTTAAAAGGGGAAGAAAAAAGAAAAAAAAAAAAAAAAAAAAAAAAAAAAAGTGGGAAAAAATAAGTTTTGGGGGAGGGGAAAAATAAAAAGAGAAAAAAAAAAAAATGGGGGGGGAAAAAAAAAAAAAATTTTTTTAAAAAAAAAGGCAAAAAATTTGGGGTTATTTTTTTAAAAAAATAAAATTTTTTGTTTTTTTTTTTATTTTTGCCTTTTAAAAAAAAAAAAATAAAAAAAAATTAAAATAGGTGTGGGGGGAAATTTAAAAAAAACTTTTTTTTTTTTTTTTGGGAAAGCGCCCGGGGGTAATATTTTCCCCCCCTTTTTTTAAAACCATTCTCTC